TCCCTGAGGAATTCACTCTGTTTTGACTGGCTGTCTTTGGTAACTGAGGTTTCAGGGTGGGAAGATTCTTGCTAGAGGTTGTAGCTAATAAACATTGTTGAACTGAATCTGCATGGTCTCCTGGAGTTCCTTGGGCTAGGCCTGACAATATCAATTAGTGATCTTAGTAATTTTAGTTTATTTTATTAGGATTAGTAATTTTAGGGTTTTAGATTTAGGATTAGATAGGATTAGGATTTTAGATTTTGGACTCTGGAACCCATCAGCTTCAGACATCTGCCGACAAAGTGAGAGTAGGATTTACAACCCTGAATACCATCCAAGGATGCAAAATCAGAAAACAAAAACAAAAAAGAACTTGAAAGAAACTTAAAAAAGAAAGTTTAAAAGGAGGCACAAATTGGAGACACAGCCGAGAAGAAATCCTAAACAAAACAAGGCTGCAATGACTTTGAGGCAATCAAAGATAAAGGATTTATTCCAGCCAATGGACACTGCAAGTAAGTCTCCTTTCCTTTTTTCTTCTCCCCTTGTAATTTCCATTAATAATTCTTATTCCTCATTGGACTGGGATGTGGATGATTGTCTTTCCGTTGAAAATGAGGCTTTAACAGGAGATAGAGGGGAGGACACAGTTAATATTAAGAGCAACATTAAAGGAGACTTGGACTTGGTTGCCAAGAACTGTCTTTTAACAACCCAAACAGTCATCACTGTATATGATCAGCTCTCGGAAGCCAATAAACAGATATACAAACTAAAAACTCTAATAGGAAATTATATCTCTAAATTAGATAAGAAAGCAAATAGCAACTTCCATGCTTCAAAAATTACCCCTAATCCAGAGACAGCACGAGCGGCATGGGGGTTCTCAGAAGGAGAAGACATGGAGGAGAGGCTAGTTTTGCAGAGAGATAGGATTTTACTCCAAGTTGCCGATACACCTTTAAATAGGGGCAGGTGGCATAACAGACAAGTAATACTAAACTCTCTCTCCCAACTCTTACATTGTAGGGTATATTCTAATTAATTAATAGAGATTTATTGGCTCCCCAGTAGGCACAGATGTAAAAGAATATTGTTAACTTTTGGACAGATTATTCTCCCATCAGTGCTTTTTAGGCTTGAAGATTCTTTAAGGAAATATCATAACTGGCCAATACACTTGTTTTATAACACCCAAACTCAGTCTCTGCTAAAGCCCGGGTGGAGAGTCAAGTCAGTGAGGAAGGATGACATGAACCTTGAAAACTCTAAATGTAACTGTTCATTATCAGTAAAGCAAAGAACTCCTCTATTAACAAGGACAGAAGAAGATAAGGATAATGAAAAAGAGGGACAGAAGAAGATAAGGATAATGAAAAAGAGGGACAGAAGAAGATAAGGATAATGAAAAAGAGGGACAGAAGAAGATAAGGATAATGAAAAAGAGGGACAGAAGAAGATAAGGATAATGAAAAAGAGATCCCAGATTCACTTAATGGAAAGATACAGTTTTTGGATGATGAGGAAGTATTAATTCATCAGTTTGCCACCCTTCTTCCAAGAGAAGAACTGATTTTAAATAAAATTGAAATAGTAAGATCAATGTTGAAATCAGTAACTAACGTGACAGAAACTCTTAACACCCTGCTCCTCCCTAGCTGCTCCTCTGTGGAAATGTTACTAAGTCTGGTTTCTGAAAGCACAAAATCTCCAATAAAAAAAAAAGACAAGGCATGCCAGTCCAAAGCAAAAACATACAAAGGAAAAGGACACTCAGCAGGTTATTACAGCACAAGTTCTAATTAACCATTCAGAGGATAAAACTGTAGCTGGTGACTTAATATCACTGGCACTGGAGAACCAGATATAGCAATCTCAAGAGTCGCTTTATCCCATTGAACTTAATGTGGATCCTAATTCTGATTCCACTCAGCAAGGGATGCTCCATCTATATCTTGTCATTCTATATCAATACAAGTTAACACCATCAAGGGAAATTCTGAATTGGAGCGATTTCCTGAAAACAGCCACCAACTTGATGTTATAAAAAGAATTTTGAAGAAGATTTTTTAAATTGCCAGCATCATACTAAACTGAACTCCAAATTTCCTGCTGTGTGGTAGATCTTACCTGGTATTTCTGACTGAAGATATCTCTGAATTGAGAGAGGCCAGTTTTTCATGCAAATTCTTCAGAATAAGACAGAATAACACTAGGTTGACCTTTGGGGGGGGGAGGAAACAAGTCTTCTCAGACAGATATTGTAACAACAACAACAAACAGGTAACGTTCTAAGACTAGATGAGCTGAAGGAAAGAAAATGAAAGTTAGTTTTAGATCATATACATTGGTCGTTGATGGATTTAAGTGAGTAGATCTTTTAGTTACAGATGACAGCAAAAAATGAAATGTCTGCATCTTGATTCAAAATGTTTTTTTCCCCCTCTCTACTTCATTCTTTCTTTCTCTCCCCCAACAGTTCTTCCTACACTATAAAATTCCAGCTGTTTGCAAAATATGGAAATTGATGAATTCCCTTTGTGTAGCAGAAAGAACTGATTTTCCTGCATTATTTTAAACTGATGTACGCATCCAATTTAGCGACATTGATATCAGGTTCTCATTTTCTCTTCTTTCTCATCTCAGAAAAAAATGTTATAAAATTCTTTCATTTCTCTACTGTTAAAGAATCAGAGACAATATTTGCTCACCACAATTAGCGCACAGACAGGTCCCATGAAGCTCCAGATAAAATCTGGGTTAAGCCAGCAACTAAAGAGAAAGAAATATCACCAGGAGAACTTTAGACAAACATTCAAATGCTTCAGTACAGGGTACAAAGTTGTGCTCCCTGAGCAATACTAGCAATTGTGTTCGTGTAGTTATGTCTAGGTGGCACCAGACTGGGGGAAGTGGGTTTTAACCATATGCTGAGACTTACTAATATTGTGTCCCAAAGGCTCCAGGATTAATTCCTGCAGAAATGGCTACAATCAGGACAGGAAGCCCATAACCACAAAGGTACATAGATATCTTCATATACTTGCTGGCCCCACTGTAATTTGCAACTTTCAGGTTTCTGACAATGAGGTAGAGATTGACAGCTTCCAAGAACATCCAGACAAAGCAGGCCAAGAAGAGATACTTCAGCATTCCAGCTATGACCGAACACAGGATCTGAATCAAAAATAAAATGCCATTTTATTTCCATATCAACATCTGATTCTTGAATTGCTGGCTGTGAATGAAAATCAAGTATGGGCTACAAAAAGCAGAGAAATGGAACAATTCATATCTTTCTGAGATTCATGCTTCCACCAACAACTCTAATAGGAAAAATCTGTGCAGAGTAACCCCTCTTTCATTTCAGATATGAAAACATTATAAAAGCTAACTGCTGTGCAATCAAACCAGACTTGCTAGAAATCCCTAACTTTGCCTTTTGCTATTATCAGAAGTTGGGACAGGACTGATAAAGGTCTTTTAGGTAGTATAAAGGATTTTGGCACTGATATGTCCTGTAGACCTCTACTGTTCCTTGAATGATCAGAATAGAGAGCTGCAGTAATTTACCTTCTTCTCAGATGTACCCATACAGTAATTATGACTCCCACAAATGTGCTGCTTAGACAACTCATTTCAGGTATAGATGTAAGGTAGTAGGAAATGTGCATTCCCTTCTTTTTAGCTAGGTGTAAATCATGATCAGATCTAAGAAAGGCTTCAGTCTAAACTAGGTAGGAAGCATGCTCAGATGTGCTTATCTCTCCAGTGAGCAGAGTACAGTATCACACATTCTTCCATGTTCTGAAATACCTTGTTGTCTGTTTTATCTATTCCAGCTATGAAGAGGAGGTCAGCAAAAAACAGGCAGAGGCTCAGTTGTAGGTGGATGAAGGTGCTGCTGTTGTGACTGGAGCGGCAAAAGAGAAATGTGGCAATACACAGGAAGAGACAGATGACTGAGATGGACAACCCAAGGTAGCTAATGATGGACAGGATTAGATCTCCCTGTGAAAAGAAGACAGCTGTTCTCAGCATCATATGAACTACCTTTTAATAAGGAAGTTATCTTTACACTTCACCTAGACAATAGATCTGACTTATATATAAAAGCTGACTGCTTGCACTGTGCCAATAGAAGAGGATATATTAGCTTAGGGTTGACCTGTGGAGTCCTTGGTCCTCTCTGAGTTTGGTTGTTTGATTGCAGATGCTTCATTACCCAACTGGGTAACATCATCAGTGCTAGCACTGTGCTAGTGACTAAGTAGTGTGACTAGTTACTAGTGCTGTGCTAATGACTAGTCACAGCGCTAATGACTAGGTAACATCATTATCAAATAGTACTGATGATGTTACCTAGTTGGTTAATGAAATGTCTGCAATCAAACAACCAAGCTCAGAGAGCACCAAGGACTCCACTGCTTTCATTGTGTTGCGATTGGAAATGAAGTGTTCAGGATCTTTAAATCTTGAGGGATACAAGCATTTCTTAGCTTACTTCTCTATGTATGAGAGGAAGGGGCCATGAATAATTATGGAAAACTCTGCAGCATTTCAAGTAGAGAACTGCTACATTATCATAGCTTCAATGATGAAACATGTTATTTGGTGTGGCAACAGCATGACAAAACAGTGAATATTTGAGTAGGTAAGAAAAAAGAACATGTTGTTTACTACAATACAGTTCTGAAATGTTTTCAGATCATACATACTTGTTTATGAGTTGTGGCCATCAGCAGAGCAAAGTTGGACAGATGCCGACAGCTGCATACTGAATGAGTGGTGTTAGAAAAGATCTGTTGGCAACCATGACGGGACAAGGCACCAGAGTTCCAGTGGACACAGAGAACTCTTTCCTGGGCAACTTTATTCTGCAAGAGAGAAGTAGGATTGACAGGAGGTACGGAGAAAGTCTACATATTTTTGTTATCCTCTACTGCACAGATCCAGGGTTACTGAACATTAAGAAGTTAACCACTGTAATGAAAGCAAAAGGAACAC